TTATTAAGAATTTGTAAAATGAATGCTAAAAACTATTTTAGTTATTTTTTAGCTTAATAAAACCCTGAATAATCCAGAAAAAAATATCACAAATAACTATGTTAATAATAAATACAAAATTTTATTAACTGATTTTTAGGAAAATATGTTATTTTTTTTATAAAAACTAAAATAAATCCAATGCATTATATATACAATAAATGTGCTGAAACAAACACTTAAGAAAAAATAAATTATGAAAAAACTAAATTGCAACTTAAACATTATACAGCAAAAAATAATTGATTTATTCGGAAACAGACGGTGGATTGGCACAAGCTTCGCACTGCATAAAAACATGTTCTAAACAAATTGGAACCTCGCATGAACGGCACGAATATTTTGTTTTTCTGTCTATCTTTCGAGGACAAAAACTGCAACGACCACGAGCTATAACTTTTTCTTAGGTGGTTCTTCCAATTTTTCGCCAAAAAAGGTATTGATTTTTTCGCGTAAAATACGTGGGATTCAGGGATTGTCTTTTCGAACTTGTGCTTGCTCGCGTACTAATGCTAGTCCCAAATTTTTCAAATAATCTCGTCTTTTCAATTTATAGTCACCAGTATTGAACTTATAAACAACTTGCGAGTTAATACCTGCGGTATTCAGTAGACAAAACATAATTGTAAGAGGCCATCTTCTACTGTTGCGAGCTACGCTGTAGGATGCTGATAATTCATTTGTTACATCGACACCTGTCTTGGTTGAATTGTAAAAGGTTATAGTTTCTGGAAGTTTCTTGTCGCCGGAATCTCTATCGATTGAGTTATCATGATGGAGCGATGAAAGAAGTAAGATGTTTTTGCCCTTCTTAGGAATATATAACACGATCGATATGTTTTTTTGAAAACCAAATAGGCTTGATTGTTCAGATTTGTTACGAGTTAAAAGTACCGACTGAAGTAAGTTTGTGTCTTTCGAAGAGTTCCTGTACGAGTTCACAACTAGTATACCAATTATCAAAGGTGACATTTCGATTAGTGCCTGAAATTGGTGCAATCATTCGAAGAGCTATTGGTAAATTACTCAACTGGTATGGGCCATCGGGCTGTTTTCCTGTGTATACTTCCATGTTTAACGTATAGAAAGTTTTACAGTCAACCAAATTTTGTATCTTGATGCCGTACTTTGCGGGCTTGTTTGGGATGCATTGACGGAATGAGCATCTGCCTCTAAACGACTCCAGCTTTTCATCTAGGGTTACATACTCACTGGGGGTATAAGCAGACTGACAATTATTAACAAACTTGTCGAATACTGCTCTTATAGGGGCAAGCTTGTCTACTGATCGTCTAATTGGCCTATTTTCAATATTATCAAACCTCAGACAGGTCAGCAAAAACATGAATCTTTTGGAAGACATGGTTGCTGAAAATATATCCATGCCTGTGCCATCAGTTTTCCAAAAGTCTTCCAGATTTCTGTGATTAGCATGTGATTAGCATGTGATATTAGCATGTGTTGTTCTAGTGAGTAGACGTGTATTCGAGTTCCAGCTGTACTTACAATTTTAAGTGGCAAATCTATAAGTAAAATTAGTATCTTTATTGTGATAACCTGTGGAAAGCATACTTTCACATGTGAGTAAGACATCTAGTATATCAATTGTTATATAAATAGAGTAAATTTGATTTGAACATTACCGGCAAATCCAAGCAATGCCGCCAAAACAGTCTCGGTCCTCCGATAAAAGTTCACGGGCCAATTCTGTCTCCGAATCTAACGAAACAAAAATGGAAAACGATTACGGTCTCACCTCAGACGAACGAATTGAACAGTTAATGGAGAAGGTATGTGAAAAATTTGCGTGCAAACTAGAAAAAAAGATTGATAAAAAATTAGAAGATATAACACGAAATGTATCCAAGCTAATAGTTGATGTTAGTAACATTGAAAAGAAAGTACAGCAGAATGAAAAGGAAATCTGTAATATTAACGGATTTATGGATCACCTAAAAAGAAAGAACACAATAAGAATTAATGGGCTCAAAGAAAGTGAAAATGAGAGTGTTCATGATATCACTTTAGAATTTATTAACACCGCACTGAAAGTTGTTTGTACCTCCAATGACATTGATGATATATTCAGAATTGGTATTGCAAATAAAAAGTCGGGAACTAGAACTATTTTGGTTAAATTCCTATCAACAAAGAAGAAAAATGAGTGTTTTCAAGCTAAAAAGGCACTCAAGCAGACTGGTATTAGTATTTATGAGGACCTTTCTCAACGAACGTATGAACTTTTGCAACTGGCGCAGAAAAAATACGGAAGAACATTAAGTTGGACTATGGGAGGTAAGGTGTTCATACAACATAATAATATGAAGAAAGAAATTAAATGTTTTGACGACCTCATTAATGTCCCGTAATCTTTCTTCGGAGGTTCATAATTATTTCGTTTCTAACGACCTTTCCTCGCGAATATTATTTGCTAAACTTTTTTCTCAATTATTGTGGAATACATCTTTATTTTAATACCTATTTCTAAATTATTGTTTTTAAGTTTTTATAAACTCTAGATATTTTTGAATACAAAGTAGATATATATCTACTCGTAAACATTTATTTTTATTTCTTGTTTTCATTAATATGTAGTAAAGTAGCAGGATCCATTATAATCAATAATTGAAGGATAAAAATATTTATTTAATTATTGTTCTTTTGTATTTACTTTAGAATAAAATTATTTATTGTTATTCTTTTCTCTCAGCAACTTAAGTATCTACTTGCGCTCTATTTGTTACTAAATTTATTTACTTAACTAATTTGCCACATATTTTACAGATTTTTTTATATATTTAAATTGCTGGGGCCGAGAAAACGTTCTTAGAATAACACATTTATATGCGCTAGCTCAATATCAACATATACATATTGTTTTTGTACTTAATTTTCATCTTCTACATATTTTTTACGTTTCTCGCAACGCTATATGTTTTTAAATATTTATTATCAGAACGTCAGGGGACTCCGCACCAAGGTCTCGGAGTTTAGCAAAAACTTGTCTGCAGAAGAGTATGATGTTGTTATCTTGACGGAAACTTGGCTATCAGAAGACATTAAAAATGGAGAACTATTTAGTTGCAATTACATAGTATATAGAAAGGATAGGGATTAAATTTTAACAGGAAAACAACGCGGAGGAGGTGTCCTCATTGCTGTAAATAAAAATATCATATCTTCACTTATATCAATTAACTCACCTTTGGAAACAATTTTTGTAAAACTTAAACTACACGGAACCAGTCATTATTAATTCAACTTATATTCCACCGGGCGCAAATGCTAAGGTCTACAGGCAATATCTAGATTTATTTGACAATTTAGATCCCTTAATCACTCAAACCACACACATGGTACTTATTGGTGATTACAATATACCATGTATAAATGGCACATCTTTTCAATTTTCTAATAAAAATGATATAATAGTAACAATGTCTCTATTAATGGCCACTTACAGTCTACAGTCTTTCAACAATTGTCTCAATGAGGATCAAAAAACTCTAGATCTGGTGCTTGGTAATTTGAATTTGAATATAAAGGAGAATAAAGAAGAACCTTTAGTTCCCATAGATAATAAACATCCCTCTCTGATAATTAAGACGGAAGTAAAAAAAGTAATCAACTCACATACACAAGTAATAATCTTCAAAGCAGATATAATTTTACAAAAGCTGATTTTAGATTACTATGCGAACTACTAAGGGATTTTAATTGGTCCAAAATTGGACACATTGAAAAGGTTGATGATTCTGTCAAATATTTTTACCAGTTTTTTTATGAAATGCTTGACATATGTGTACCAAAGTTTACTAATAGGCCACATGCATATTGCAAACAGTTTCCGCCATGGTTCACGGATGAAATAAAAATCGACATAAAGTACAAAGAATTTTTCAGAAAAAGAAAACATCTATCGGAATATTATTTTAGTAGATATAAAAAAATTAGGGCGGACCTAAAATTGAAAATAAGGACGGCGCACAATAATTATATCCAAAATATGCAGAACTGTGTTAACCAGGACCCCATGCTTTTTTGGAAGTTCATTAAAGATAAGAGGTCTAATAATATATCTGAATCAAATTTTATTATAAATAATAGGGAAATATCTGACAAAAAAATTATAGCAGGGGAGTTCGCTGATTATTTCAGTTCAGTGTATGACAACGATTCAAACTATAACCTTATAGATATTAATGGTTCGACTAACAATTGGAACGTAAATTTTTATCAGAATATTGACTTCGATCTAATATCCGTCAAAGACTTAGAAGCGGCATTTCGAAAGTTAAAACCGAAAAAGACAGCGGGTCCTGATAATATTCCTTGTTATATCCTGAAAGCTTGTAAAGATTATTTAATATACCCTTTGCTGGTAATTTTTAATAAGTCGCTTAAAACATCCATATTTCCTAGTGAATTTAAAAGAACGAGATTAACATCAATTTTTAAAAAAGGGGATAAAAATAAAATAGATAATTATCGTCCCATAGCCATATTAAATTGTACGGCGAAACTGTTTAAATTTGTAATATATGTTAGGTTTTTAATAATACTCGTATACTTTAACAAATTTTATATTTTTATCTTTCTACCAATTAACTCTGACAAATCAATGTTTTAAATTCCTGCCTATGATTTATTTTATAGCTAAATATATTTACGTAATCGTGACTAACACTTTTCGGTAATTCTGAATAATTGTAACTAATATAGGATGTCCCAATTATAAACCATAGATATAGTATGTTCTAGAATATTTGTTAATACTTATCAATAATTTTTATTTAGTAAAGCAAATACTATAATAATAATTATAACAATAATTAATAATGATACCTACTACCCATAACAATAATAACTTACAATATGTTTTTAATAAAAATAAAATCCAACTCATAAACTCTAACAATCGGCCATTCTGACTTCTGAAACGTCCTCGCTTTCTTCTTCTCTCATCCTCTTATGGCGGGTGTTGGAACTTTTGCTAAAACAAAATATTGTGTTTTACTATGTACATTTTTTTTTTTTTTTTTCATTGAATCTATGCCTGCCACAGGCGACTTAATTTTATTATCAAGTTTACCATACACCTACTACAGGCCCTTTTAATGTCTGCTGCAGACCTATGATGCTTGCTACAAGCCCTTATTTTATATACGTAACATATATTTTTTATGTTTCTAAAAAAATTTTTTTTATATGTAATTTTTTTTTTTTTTTAATAAATATTAACCCTCTAAAAGATCTAATAACTCGTCCGTACTACTAATTTCATCATCCGAATTAGAATCGCTAATTACCCCTCCAGTGAACGGACGTAATTGATCTGCTGCAACTGTTGGCCTATACTTTTTGTAACCTCTCATCCCTTGCAGGGCTATTATTTCGTATCTGTCATTTCCTAATATTTTTGCTATTTTATAAGGACCATCATATTTGATGCCTGTTTTTCTAGTCACTTCTTTACTATCTTTGTTTCCCTCTGACCACAATACAAGATCATCAACTTTATATTTTCTACTTACTTTTCGTTTCGAATCGAATGATTTTTTCATTTGCTCGCCCTGTTTATTCATTGACCGTTTTGCTGCCTCTTGATCTTTTTCTCTATCTATGGTGCCGATATCGTCTTCGCCTAAATCGCCTAATATATTTTTTTCATATCCGAACATAAGTCGGTGTGGTGTAAAACCAGTACTACTATTTACTGAATTGTTAATACCTTGTATTACTTGCGGTAGTCTTTCATACCAGTCATTTTCATAATTAATTGAGGTGTTGAGTGCGTCCAACAAGGTCCTGTTGTAACGTTCAACTTGTCCATTAGACCGAGGGGATGAAACTGTATTTAGTATGTGCTTAACTTTATACTTTAAGCAGAATTCTTTAAAATCTTCAGATTTGAAAGGCTTGCCCCAATCTGATATAATTCTTTTAGGCACACCAAACAAAGAAAATACATCTTTCAAATGGTAGATTACTTCGCGGGCCTTTGTACTTTTTGTTGGTCGAGCGAATAAAAATTTAGAAAAAGAATCAACAATCATAAAAATATATGAGTATCCCGAGCTTTGACAAAAGGGGCCCAAGTGGTCAATATGCCAAGTATTTAGAGGTTCAGAGGGTTTATTTATAGGAAAGAGAAACCCTTCCTTCCTTCCATAGTGTGAATGTTTGTATGCGCAATCTAAACACGATTTTACGTACTTTTTAATGAATCTCGTCATACCCTTAAACCAGAATTTGCTTTTAATTAATTGTTCGCACTTTTTTAGGCCAATGTGACCAATATCATCATGAAATTTTTTTAAAATGTTAAATTTCGCATATTTAGGTATTACAAGTTTGTTTTCTCCGTCGGCAGTTTTACGGTAAAGTCTATCATTTTTTATACAATAAGTATTCATTAAATTTCGATCTTCATGCGTTTGAAGACGTTTTCTTATTAATGATATGCACTCGTCTTGCGACTGGACACAATATATCCAATCGTCCAAGTTTATATTTAATATTGAAATATTGTCTACGTTTCTGCTCAAAGCATCTACATGCGACATTTTGTTTCCGGGTCTATGCTCGATTTGAAAATCAAATTCTTGGATTGAGAGCCACCAGCGTGCAATTCTTGGTAGTAGGTCTTTCTTACTAAAAGTTGAGCGCACAGCACTACAGTCAGTTACGATTTGAAAATGTATTCCAGTTAGATAAATTTTAAACCGCTTAATAGATTCAATTACTGCGAGTGTTTCCAATTCATAGGAATGGTAAAATTTCTCTACACTAGTTGTGGCACGGCTGTAGTACATCACAGGCTTAAGCCCGCTGTCGTATTTCTGCAATAAGATACCAGCGACTCCTTTGCTACTGGCATAAGTATGCAATTCTGTAGGTAGTTTTACATCAAAAATAGCCAGAAGAGGACGAGTTGTTAATATATTTTTAATCTCCTCGAAAGCCCTGTTTTGAGATTCACCCCACTCCCAAGTTACTCCCTTTCTGATAAGCTTTTGGATTGGATCTACAATGGTCGCATGGTCTTTGATAAATTTTCGGAAATATGAACATAGACCCAAAAACTGTCGTACTTCGTGTACATTTTTAGGTACACGAAAGTCTATTACTGCTTGAATTTTTCTATGTCCCGGTTTTATACCACACTCTGACACTTCGTACCCTAAATATTCAATATTTGTTTGAAAAAACTGACATTTATCTAAGTTAAATTTTAAATTAGCTTTTCGAAAAATTGTAAACACTGATTCTAATATCTCTAGGCCATCTTCAACAGATTTTGATGGAATCAAAATATCATCTAGATAAACAAGAAGTTTATCATGGCGTAATTTAGAAAGAACCTTATTAATTAAACGCTGAAAAGTCGCAGGGGCATTACAAAGTCCAAAAGGCATTCTCAAAAATTCATATTGCCCGTCAGGCGTTACGAAAGCTGTTTTATCTACACATTTTTTTGAAACTGGTACTTGGTAATATCCCTGCGTCATGTCAAGCACGCAAAAATATTTAAAACCCTTTAGTCTAGATATATGGTCTTCAATATTGGGAAGAGGATATCGGTCTTTCACAGTTATTTTGTTTAATTTTCTATAGTCTATTGCTACTCTGTAATCTCCATTTTTCTTTTTAATGAGAAGTGCTGGACTCGAATAACTAGAGCTTGATTCTCTAATAATGTCATTGTTCAAAAGATCGTTGATTTTGTCACGTAAAATAGATTTTTCTTTCTCTGATATTCTATACGGTTTGTAAAAAATAGGTTCACGAGATTGCAAATTAATTTCAAACTCTAAAACATCAGTTTTCCCTAGCTCACATGTTCTTGTAGCAAAACAATTACTATATTTTAGTAATAGCTCACGGAGTTTATGAGTATGATACTCATTTATATTTTTGATTTTTACATTATTTATTTCAATTTTTCCTACAATATAATGATTTTTAACCGATCTACAGAAACAATTATCCAACAAATTATAAGCTTTTGTTAATATTTTATCTTTTTGCAATTTTATTATTTGCGATCCCATATTTGTAACTTTTATACTAAACACATTATTATTAGATATCACGGTTGGAAATAAAATTGTATTTTGTATTGTAGCCGGAACTATCTGGTGACCAGAATAATTGGTTTCTACGACAACATCTGAGGTACTTTTAGGGTAAATAAGTGTGTCATCTACAACAACGACGTTAATTTTTTTAAGAATATTTCCTGCAATACCCTTATCACATTCTTGGTATTTAAGATTTTTTAACTCTAATGTATCACCTGTTATTCTTAATTCGGTGTTATTATTATTTATTACTGGTTGACCAATTATAATATCGATGTCACCTAAATTTACTTCAACAAAATAAACGTCAGTATTAATGTTAAAATCATTCAAAGCTAGTGTTACCTTACATTTGCCTATTGGGTATACAATATTATTTCCAAACCCGGTTATATAAGAATCTGGTTTATCTAATTTCAAATTCAATTTATCCGATAATACCTTTTGGGATACATTTATTTGACTGCCTGTATCTAAATAACCCTTACATGCAATATTGTTTACTAAAACATTTATATAATAACAATTATTTAAAACTTGCCTTTTTATGGCCTGAACTGTGGCTGCCTTCAAGTAGAAACATTCTTCACGGATGTGGCCCATCTTTCCGCACTTTGTGCATTTTTTGGTAGATCGTTGGTGACCTGATGTACTAGGTTTTAGGAACCGGCAATCTTCTCTCACGTGACCCTCCTTGGAACAAAAAGTACACTTCTTTGGAACGTAGGTATTCACTTTTGGTCTTCGATGTTCGTAGTTTTGTCTATCATTCTTGATATTGTCCCTATGCGACATCTTCTCGCAATGTGACCTGGCATGTGGCATAAATAACATTTTGAATTTTCTTTAGGTGTATTTTCATTTTCTATTTTACTAAGAAATCCTTGAAATAATTCTTCGGGTGTTCGATAATTCCCAGCTTTTGCGGCACCCTGTACTATAGGTGGTAAACCGTCTATTATACACGAAACGGCATTACCATCGATGATTTCACATTTTCTGATTAGAATACATTTGTTATAATAATAATGCATTATTGTTTCATCATTTTGTTTTTTTCTGTTCATCATTTTCTTCAGATTTTCGATAAAATGCTCATGCACAGGAAACGCTTCTAACACGGCTGCTTTCCATTCTTCCCAGGTTTTGTCGTAATTACGTAAGGAGTTGAACCAAATTTTTGCAACCCCATTTAATCTAGACTGCATGCAATATGTTTTTGTTATATCATTCCATCCATGAATAATTGATAACTGTTCGATTTTATGTAACCAATTAACACTTGTTAAATCATAATTTTCTGGATCAAAAAGTGGAACTATATCGGCTTTCCCAATATTTGTGGAGTTGCTGTTAATCGGAGTTCGAATTAAGGAAGAAAATTCCTGTCGAGACAAAATTTCACTCACTTTTCGTGCCACCAACTTTTCTATTTCATCCGATTTGTCATTTTTGCTTGTAGAATCACTTTCATTTACATTTTCTTCTAGTTCACTTGCGTTTTCAGGATATAAATTTTCTCCGAGTTTTCTTTTTTTATTATCTAACGGTAGTTTACCCCTAGACGCGCGACGCCTTCTTTTAAAATTTTCAGCATCCATTTCACTGACCGAACTATTTTCACTATCACTCATTTTTTTGTTATTTTTCACGCGAATTTATCCCTACTTCTGAATTGTTAGGTTTTTAATAATACTCGTATACTTTAACAAATTTTATATTTTTATCTTTCTACCAATTAACTCTGACAAATCAATGTTTTAAATTCCTGCCTATGATTTATTTTATAGCTAAATATATTTACGTAATCGTGACTAACACTTTTCGGTAATTCTGAATAATTGTAACTAATATAGGATGTCCCAATTATAAACCATAGATATAGTATGTTCTAGAATATTTGTTAATACTTATCAATAATTTTTATTTAGTAAAGCAAATACTATAATAATAATTATAACAATAATTAATAATGATACCTACTACCCATAACAATAATAACTTACAATATGTTTTTAATAAAAATAATATCCAACTCATAAACTCTAACATATATGATAAACTGTATGCTTACTTTCAAAAATACATATCAACCGAACAACACGGATTTTGTCGTAAAAAATCTGTAGATACAAATTTATTAACTTTCAGTGATAAAATATCAAAATGTGTCAATTCTCGTGAGCAAGTAGATTGTATTTATACTGATTTTAAGAAAGCCTTCGATAAGGTAAATCACAATATTCTTCTAGCTAAACTGAAATATTATGGTCTTAGCGATCATCTAATAAATTTCTTTATGTCTTATCTAAAACTAAGGTATCAATACGTAATGTTTGGTGGTGAAGTATCTCATACAATCCTCGCAGGCTTTGGGGTCCCTCAGGGCTCCAATTTGGGCCCTCTACTTTTCTTAATATTTGTTAATGACCTTCCTCTACGTATTACATCAGACTGCCTAATGTATGCAGATGATCTGAAAGTTTTTAAGAAAATATCCACCCTAGATGACTATCTAGACCTTCAAAATGACTTAGACTCAATTTCGGATTGGTCATTTGAAAATAAATTACATTTTAATCTTTCCAAATGCAAGGTTATTACATTCAGTAACATTCGTAATCCTCAAAATTTTATCTACACAATGCAAGGATCAACACTAGAAAGAGTGTCAAAAATGACCGACTTGGGAATAGTTTTTCAAAATAATTTCAAATTTGACGAGCATATCCATAACATTACCAAAGAAGCTAACAAATTGTTAGGTTTTTTGAAACGCACGACTAGGGACTTTACAGACACACACTCGATTAAAAATGTATTTTTTGCTCTCGTTCGTAGTAAATTAGAATATGCATCCACTGTATGGGACCCTACACAACAAAATTTAAAACACATTTTGGAAACTATTCAAAATAAATTTGTCAAATATTTATACTTTAAAAAGTATCATACAAGTCCAGGATTTGTTTCATTTGGACCTATTAGAAAAGAGTTTGAAATTGAAAAATTGGAACATAGACGCTCTATAATCAATCTTGTCTTTTTACATAAATTATTAAATTGATATTTGGACAGTCAATATTTATTGAGTCAAATAAAAATTAATGTTCCAATAGCAGGTATTCGTCCACGTCAATTAACTTTTCGTGCGGATAATCATGGTCCAGTAGAAAAAATTTGTCTTTTGTTTAATGTACACTCCGAAGGCATTTCTTGCGGTATTTTTGATGTAGCTATAAGCACATATAGAAAGGAACTTAACAAAATTGTTGGGCTCGATTAAAGAGACATAACCTTGTAGGATTTCCGTGGCCTTGGTGTGGGGTTTTGCAGACGCTCTGATTATTCCTGAATATTTCAGTAGTTTTGTTCTTTAATTAACTTTGTTAAAATTTTGTAGTAGCGAGGTTTGTTTATTATAATTTCACTTATATATTTAATTAGATATTATGTATTTTTGTTGATTTCTATTTTCGCTGTATTTATAGGAACATGTAATTAGGCTCATGCCTGTTTGTTTCTGGAATAAATAAATAAATAAATAAATTAGCTATAAACACACCCGCAAGATAAAGCAAACCGAAAACAGCTTTAATTTCCACTTCATTTGTATCATTACAAAAAAATTTGTCTTTGTAATTTGTAGCTTTTTCTCTGATTTTGATTGTAGTATATTTTGCAATATCTGAGTTTGCAATATTTGGTTATCAATAAATAACGACCAACAATCAAGCGGGTTTTTTATAGTATTGTGCATTTCGCTTGACACCCGGTAAATGGCTTATAATATTTTCAGCTCTGGTTCGAACCCTACTATTAGTACAATCTTTTAACCATTTAGTGCCATCCTTTTCTTTGAAATATTTACCTCTCTGCGCTTCATTATTACCTTGTTCTGTTTCAGTTTCCCTACCATTTTCTTCCGGTTCCACTTCCTTTTTATTTATCTGTTCTCCCTCCTCAGTTTCTAAGTCTCCACTACTTTCTCGATCTTGAACTCGTTCATTCTCATGATCAGTTGCGTAGTCACTTCCATTTTCTAAATCAATAAAATCTTCTTGTTCTTCATCTTTATCTAGCTCTGTCCAAAGTTGTAAGAGACGTTCTTGTTCACTTTCGTAGGTGCTACGAGCCATAATTCTAAAAAAATGTCAATATTATATCACAAATATTATTGAAATTCACGAAAATTACTTACTAGAAAATTGCTATAGAATTGTCACGTAAGCGGTCAGGTGGGGTTTATTAGACCCCAGACCAGTTCATAACGATGTTAACTCTCCGGATGCACAATAACAACTGAAATACGTTTCGAATTAGGTAGAGGGATATGTGGGCGGAGGCTACTGAGAGGCGTGACCGTGCAAACATTATAATATGAAAGTAAAGGCGCCTATTATCTACATTGGGTCTACAGGACCCCACCTGACCGTTGCCGGGTTAAAAGGGCCAAATACTTGGCCCGCTCTAAAACCTTTGTGTAAAGCCATCTATACTTGACAGCAGGACAAGCAGAGATTAATAAACCTATAATCTGAGACAATGAATAAATTGTGACATTGTGTGAATTTAGTATTTTTAATAATAATCCTGCAATTTTCTTACGTTTAGATAAAGGTAGTTCAATAGTGAGGTTGCTACTGTTTAAAGTGCTTTACTTCACACAATGGTAAAAGTCAACTTTTGTCATAATTTATTGTAAATCCTAGAGATTCAAAAAGGTGCAAAGCCAATTTTGTGTTTCTTTCACATTCAGATTTAGATTTTGATAATATAAGACAATCGTCAAGGTACATAACACATATCACCTGCTTATCCCTAAAAAAAGCTAGTGCTGGTTTCATGATTTTTGTGAAAACCCAAGGAGCAGTAGATAAGCCAAAAGATAAAACTGTAAATTCATACAAATTGTTTTTAAATTCGACTCTTAAATATTTTATATAATTTACGAGTAATAAGTATCTCTAAGGTCAATAACCGTCATGTAAAAATCTTTGCTTACTAGTTTTAGGGCCATTCTAATATCTTAAATCTTAAAATGAGAGGGATTTAAATATTTGTTTAACCCTTTAAGATTTAAAATAAATCTCTTATTGATACCATCATTTTTCGTGGCCAGAAAATATGGGGATAAAAACTGATGTTGCTCCTGTTTACACTTTTTTACAGCCCCCTTTTGGAGGAGTTCAGGAGTAAGATTTTTAACTATGGTAGTTTCCGATCCATTGTTGACCGTTTTAAAAAAGAGTTGAGAGGGCTTTTTAGTAAAAGGTAATTTGTATCCCCTGATCCATCCCAGTAGGGTTTTGTTACATGTCAATCTTTTCCAATTAGGAATGAAGTGTTTCAAACGACCAGAGCATAGACTCACGTTTAATATTGTTGTTTTTCCCTTGGTTTTTGAGGAAATGGCCTGCTTTGCCAAGACTTCCTCTGATATTTCAGCGGCCTCCTGTAGTTTAAATTCTCAGAGATTTCCTAAAGAGAGTAGGCTTGGTAGGTTTGGAAAACTGCTGCAATTCTTTGGCCGTTCTTGTGAGTGCCTTTGAAGCCCTAATCTTCTCCCCTAAATCATTACCAAAAAGGAATTGTGACACTGATGCCTTAAAGGTTATATCTTTGATAGATTTGTCCAAGTTTGGTATCATAATTGCCCTCCGAGAAAGAAAGAGGCGGTAATGTAGGTCACACAGAATCTTACCAGAATCACTGAGGGAAGATACAAGTTTCTTTCTTTGATTATCATCAACGTTATTCTTCAGCAGCAAATCCAATGTCTGGCAAGTAGCCGTTAGGCCTCTGCCCAACTGGTCCTGTCGATTTATTAAGAATTTATCTTTATTTATTATCGATGGGGAGAGCTGCTGATTCCTCTAAGTTTACTTTTAGGGGGTTTAAACCCTCTATGTTAGTTGAAATATTATATTTACCAACTATTTTTGCTCTTTCTTCTTTGTTCAGTCCGCTTGAAAGAATCGTGCGCCAGCGTGTTTGAATTATCGGATGAATTTTTATTTCATTCGTTTGCTTTGCCAGTTTGCCTAACCATTCCAAGGTGGTTTCGTCTAGGATATCGGTGGGGTCTGAGTTTTGTGCTGTAAATACCTCAGTATTTTCATTTGGCGAGTTTTCGGATTCTATTTCATCAATAGAGCTGTAGCTGCCCTCTGCACTTAGCAGTATTGACTCGGACATGGGGTCTGCCGTACCCAGCGAGGGGCTACGGGCTTTTGTCAGTGACCTATATGACCCATGTGGACTGCGTGATTTCGATCTTGTAGAAGTACTACAAGAAGGTTTAGATGGACTGCATGATCTCGTTCTTGTAGAAGTACTACAAGAAAGTTTAGATGGACTGCGTGATTTCGATCTTTTAGAAGTACTAGGGGAGAGGGGGGCAGCTTTCAACATGTTTGTGGTTGGAGTAGCGTTTTTTTTAAATATAAAGCAATAATTCAATTAAATGTAGACAAAAGCATAGTTTGAAGTCTTAACCATCGTTTGGCACCGTTAATTATAGTTCAATGTAGTATGATTTGATTTGATAAAAATTTCAAAATTCTTGGTACAATTTGAACGTAGGTGGGGGCACATTTGAACAATACTAAAAGTACACAGTTTTTAATAAATCTGTACTATATTTCAAAGTAAAAGTTTAATATCAAGTAAATATTATCAAATACATACAATAAAAAATAGAATAAAACAAGTGTTTGATAATGTATAACGTACTACCTATCGAAAATTGTACATAGATTGATTGAAGTAAAAGGAAATGAGAGACTGTGTTCTATCAGTCCCTTTATTATTTAAAGGAGCTGACAATTTTCGAAGCACATCTTCGATTTCAACAGTTGAAATATCGTCAATGAGGGGAAAATAAAATTTAAATCCCTTTCGTCTTAAAAATTTAACTTGTAATTCATCACCATTTTTTCCATAATCTGTCCAACGAAGTGCACGACTGTTTTTTTTTTTGTAGAAAACTTTACAACAATAAAGTCTTCAACAGACAAATATTCATTTTTCACTTCACAATCTTCATCCAAAGAACCTTCGGATAATGGTCCATCCGAATCATTATGGACAGAGAATGAATCGTTAGAGCTAGATATTTGATCGGGAATAAAAACTTTCTTTGTTACCTTAACTTTTTTATTTTTGTCAATCCTTTGTTGCTCTAATGCATTTTTTTCAGGTGTTTCCGTGAGAATCTTTGATTTTCCCCTTTTACGGCCACTGGAGTTTTCTGCTCTTGGTGGTGCTTTAGGAAACGGGCGTATAGATTCGACAGATACATTTAACGAGTTGTCAGATGGTAGTAATAAGTTGAGTGGAGCTTCAGGAAAGGAGCTGCATGTTGGAATTTCTTGGAGTGGCAGACTTATGGGAACTGACTCTTGGTGCGGTGGAGATAATACATTGGGCCTGTCAGTAACATATGCAGCATCAAAATCTTCATCGCTAAAGGCATTTCGATCAAAAGGATATATTCCTGGTTTACGAAATCCAGCAATTATGTTTTTTAAAGTAAACGAGTTTTAAATGATTTGCCAGCCAGATAAGCAACATTATGGATTGTTATCGTTTTGCCTGGATTTGAAAGCATCCAGTCATTTTGAGCCACTTTATACTTAGCCTTAAATGGGCCCATGACCGATACATCTAATAGTTGCATCCGGTGAGTGCAATGAGGTGGGAAGGTTACCATCACGATTCCATTTTCCTTTGCATAAATTACAGCTTCCAATGAACAGTGGCTCTCATGGTTATCCATAAGAAGTAAGATGGGGTCTTGTACGGAACATCTCGTATAGCTCACTAGGTGCTCAAGAGTTTTCAAAAAAAGTGCTGCGTTCATCCACCCACTGCTTGGACTGTTCACTAGACCTAAGCTGCCTGGTGGAGCACCTATCATGAAGGTTTCATGAAATCTGGTCCGCGGGAAAATAAAAACTGGCGGTATAGTATTTCCAGATGCACTCACTATTCCCACCATAGTGACAAGAGTTCCCCGTTCACCTGAAACAGCCTGCCCCACCTGCTTCACCCCTTTTGCTGCAATAACATTTGGTGCTTGCACCACTGTCATCACACCTGTTTCGTCAAGGTTAAATATTCTTTCGGGTTTGTAAGGATATTTTCCAAGAGCGCGGGAAAGGTTTTCGTAAAAGGCCATCACATTTGTCTGATTGAAACTAGTGCCTCTTGAAAGACTAGTATTTTCTGGTTTTCGTAGAGAAAGGTTTTGATGCCTTTTCATAAAACCTTTTACCCAATCTATACCGGCTATTTTGTTCAAGTTTCACGGCATATTGGTAAGCTAGACTTTGCAGGATTTTATAGGTTAGTCCGTAGTTCATACGAGAACATTTCAAAATATAAACAACCAAAAGTTCTTCTTGTTCCTTTGTAAAAACCTGTCTGAAGCTATGTTTAGATGAGAAATGTTCGCGACTTTCTGGTGGAGCATCACAGTCCCCTACTTTTTTTAGACGGTAAAAAAGTGAAGTGTGGGCAACACCATAAATTTCAGCAGCCTTTCTTAGTGTTAGCTCTTTTTTCTTAACAGCTTCCATAGCTCCTTGCATATCATCTTCTTTGAATTCTGGCTTAGATCTTTTCTTTATATAAGTCCTTACCATTGTATAAATCTGAAAAAAAGTAATACCTATTTAGATATATACATACTATTTAGCTTTTATGCTCTATACAACACGTAATGCATATTATCATGCAACAACACTTGTTCAATTGTGCCCCTGCTTACTTGTTCAATTGTGCCCCAGGTAGCAACAAAATAAATAACATAAAATAAAAAAAAATTAAGTGGACCTACCTGTATATTACTAACAACGTAATAATTCTTAACAGTTGGATTTGCCGTGAAAATTAAATAATAAAAGAAACACACAATCTGTAGATTGAAATAACAAAAACTGTCCACTCGATATATTACAAATTAGCGGCGTTAAAAAACAACTGTACGTTGTACCGGCTCAAATTACTAACTGATCATAGTATTTGTTTCTAGATGTCTTTAAGAATATGGACATTGTTGCCAAACCGTTTAAACGAAAATCTCCAACTGGCTTAAAAGTTACAGTTAATGTTCAAAAGTTCCCCCGTTCAAAGGTGTCCCCCTCTCCCCTACGCCGATATTCTAGTGTCATGGCGTCCTCGTTGAACGAGTTTGCTTCTTAAGGCTTCAATTTCCCTTTCCATTACTTTCCGGGGTCTCTTATGACAGTCGTGAGACCTATCCTGAGTATTCTTCCACTTTTCCGACTTTCCCATCGCTGAAAAAACGCCAAAAATTTTCTCGGAAAGTAAAATGTGTTGGCTTCGTCACACAGAAAAACGTAATGACGTACAGAGGGCGACACACGGGTGACACAATTATAAGCAGTGATACCAATAGAGGGAAAAATAAATTCTTCTTTTTATCTATTTTTCTTTAAAATCGTGGGCTAAGTCACACCGGAAGAGGTACTACTCTGTTAACATATCTAGTGATTTCGAGAACGAGGCGCCGAAATATAATGGAGTACCTACCCCTCTCTCCTCGCGTCTAAAGTGATGACTCCGCTTATACATAACAAAATACATTGAATGATATCTCTAGTCTTATATACTCTAAGGACTAAATTTATCAGAATTTTTGGCAAAACAATTTCTAGCAAGTAACTAACGAGTAACTGTCAATTAATTATCAACTTACAAAGTAATGTATTTTATACACGGTAACTAGATAAATCCGAACATTTAGTTGTCACGATATTGTGCAATATTTTTGTTTATTTATTCACACACAGTGAATTTCAATGTATTTAGAAACCAAACCTTTTAAATGTTTATTATAAGTGATAGATTTTAATATATTGTTAATTTAGTTCTTCAATTTAATAATTTAGTCTGTGTAATTTAACGTTTTCAATAAATTATTGTGTGTCCGAACATTTAGATGTTAGGGCTCGTATATATGGGAATAGCATTTTCTTTCAGCCTGATGTATGACTCATATTTTTTCTCCACATAAATTATAAATGTTTCATGTTAAATAAAATTTAAATAGTATATCCCAGTAAACACAGTTATGTAACATTTACATAATAGTTACGTATTTTTGAGAGTGTTACATAACAATGTTATGTAAATGATTAGTTCTATGTTCTGTCAAAATGTCAGCCTCAGACTGACTATAAATTTACGTAACTTTGACTATCACTAGTTATGTAATATTTACGTTATCTGTCTTACATAAATGTTATATAACACAGTGACGTAGTATTAATGTATCACGCTTTATATAATATTTATGTTATCTGCTTTAGGCTCCTTTTATGCACATGTCGTTGTGTGGTTTACCGTTGGACGGCACAACGATCGACGTTTCCTTGTGGTGCCGCTGTACCTTTTTATGCAAGTACAACATCTCAAGCGGCTAGTAGATGTATTAAGTGCATTGTTGTCAGAGCAGTAAAAAAAGATGGATCCATGTATATTATATTATTTATTAATGAACTCCTGGACAAAATTAATGTACCACTTTAATTAATCCAAATATTTACAATATAAACTCAACATAAAACTAAGTTACATTGAAATAATGATGAACACCTAAAAATTAGTCGAATATGACCTTTACATGACCTTAATTTGCCTTTTTTCCACAAAAATTTGTTTTTGCTGGAAATTCATAAATAAGCTAGCATAACTCCAAATTGAAAAAAGAAAAAAATCAGTAAAAGAGATTAAATGCATCTGGGTCAACCCTAATACCGCGTAGGCCCTCCTTTACTTCTTATCACTGCATTCATGCGTCGCGGCATGCTTGATATCAAATGTTCAACAACAGCTTGTATATTTTCCCATTCTTCAATAGCGACCTCTATGAGTTGGTTGTGATTAGAAACAGGTGGTCTATGACTTCGAATCCCCTTTTTGAGATAATTCCATAGATATTTTATAGGATTCATATCCGGACTGTTAGGTGGCCACTCTAATAAAGGAATATTAACATCATGTAAGTAACCAATAACCAGTCTAGCCACGTAGGGACGAGCGTTGTCCTGCATGAATAAAAAATTGGGCCCAACAAACGGAACAAAAGGAATTACATGTTCGACAATAATGTTGTCTAAGTAATATTGGGCATTCATAGACATCGTACGTATAGGGACCAACTCCGTACGAGCATCGAAGCAAATTCCTCTCCAAATCATTTTAGAACCACCACCAAAAGGAACTTTAGGAGAGATATTACAGCTGGCAAACTATTCTCCTTGTCTTCGCCAGACACGCTCACGTCCATCTGGAGCTTTAAGGCTAACTCTAGTTTCTTCGTAGAACAGAACCCGTTTCTAATCATTGATGGTTCAATTCTGATGTAGTCTTGCAAAATTTAATCT